TGAACTTCTGCAGGTCTTCCTGGGGAATCCAGAGGTCATCCAGCAGGGCAAGAAATGATGGTTGGGTCTCTCTAGGGAACTTTAAGACCTGTGGACTTCAACTCCCAGAGTTCCTCAGCCAGCAAAGCTGGCTGAGGAACTCTGGGAGTTGAAGTCCACAGGTCTTAAAGTTGACAAGGTTGGAGACCACTGCCCTAGGGGAGCGATAAAACCGGTGCTGCCCTCCTGTGGCAAAGAGTGGCATAACCAGGGAAAAGCCATTTCCAGAAGGCCCCCGTGCGCTGCCCATCAGGAAGAATATTTATTTACTTAATTTATTTATTAGACTTTTTTACGCCACCCTCTTGCCTGGTGAGTACCAGCAGTCCTCGGCTTACGACCAAAATTGAGCCCAGCAACATTTCTGCTGCCAAGTGAGAGATTTTGTGACATGAATTTTTTGCCTCCTTTCACAACCTCTTCTCGCCAGTTGCTAAGTGAATCCCTGCAGTTGTTAGTTAAGTCACACGGTTGTTAAGTGAGTCCGGCATCCCCCGCTGACTTTGCAAGACGTTGGAAAGTCACAAAAGGAAGATCCTGTGACCCGGGGACACTGCGACCGTCGTGAGTCAGTTGCCAAGCATCTGTGGCTTCGATCCGACGACCACGGGGGCTGCTGAAGTGGTTGCAAATGTGGGAAATGGTCATAAGTCACTTTTTCCCATGCCTTTGTAACGTCATAAACAGATGGTTGTAAGTTGATTGTAGATGGCCTTCGTTCCTGATAACCGTGTATTCCTGAGCTGGCGCTGCAAAGTTCTTGGCTACCAAACCAAACTTTTCTGCTTAATTTTCTGCTTAAAACCTGGCTATGTTAAGGTCCAGCCCCGATTAGAACGCCTCTGTGTTGTGAATTTTAAACTATTTCTTTACTTATTTTGCTTTTCTTTTTTTCCTTCTTTCATTATAAGCCACCTGGAGACCTCCGGGATTGGGCGGCCTATAAATTTAATAAATGAAATGAAATGAAATTGGATGATTTGGATGAAAACCAGAGCGGGAATCTGATGCCAACACCTACAACTTCCTATCCTGGCTAACATTGTTTCTTTTTTTCCAGGAAAAATCCCACCAAACTGACCCCCGGGAGGGGGGGCAGGGGGGCAAAAAAAGGAACTTTCACAAAAAAAATGACATCAGTTCCAGCACTTATATAGGGAAAGGACCTGCCTTGTATTCCCGTTAAGATAATCCGAGTGCAGTTTTCTTTCTCTCCCATCTTCCTTCCTTTCCCAAATCAGCTTCTCTTCTTTTGCCCCCCCCCCACCCCCAAAAAAGACAAATTTCTTTGAAACCCGGCTTTCCGTTTGCATTTTTTTTCCAATCTCTTGGTCATTTCCGTTCTGGTCAGATCCAACACTTCTGTCTCTTGTTCTCCATGCCAATAATAATAATAATAATAATAATATTAACAATAACGATAAAAATAGCAGCAAGAATAAATATTAAATATCTTCCTTTAAAAAAGGAGTCTTTCTTATAATACTATAGGGATTTCAAAAATAATCATTAGCGCGGCGGCCACAGGGGTCTTCGCAGTGTGCGCAATCTGTAAACATTCCTTTAGCTGAAAAAATATGAAAATAAAACAGGGGACGGAGGTTCTGAGGCTTGGCGGGTAGCTCATCTTTAGACCTAGAAAAGAGAAGGAGAGAAATAAGAACATCAGACCCTGGCAAAACATAGAACATAGAACTTTTGGCTAAGATGCTCCCGGATGAGAAGCAGAATAGAGCTGGAAAGGGACCTTGGAGGCCATCTAGTCCAACCTCCCGCTCAAGCAGGAGACCCTAGCCTAGATCATTTCAGACAAATGTCTGTCCATTTGTCTGAAAACCTCCAGTGATGGAGCACCCACAAGTTCTGGAGACAACTTCTCTTCTCCTGGTTAACTGTTCTCACTGTCAATGGGGATACAGAATAACAGAGTTGGAAGGGACCTCGGAGGTCTTCTAGTCCAACCCCCTGCTCAAGCGGGAGAGATGGTACCATTCTGAACAAATGACTGCCCAGTCTCTCCTTCTTCTTCTCTAAAACAACCTCTATTTTTTTTATAAAGAGTTTTATTATTTTCCAATTACAAAAATAAACATTCCATCTTTCCCTATGCCAGCATGTGTCATCTGGGTACAAACACCTCTGTGCCACATCTTCCACATTCATATTAACATTATTTCCCCAAGTTTAGTATTATAATATATCGAGCATTCAAGCATTATGGAACTCTTCCTTTTTCTTCTTAATATCTTCTAGTAATATCATATTAACATTTAACATCATTATTCTCATCATACACATACTAACACTTTCCCTCTTATTTATATCTCTAAGTGTATTGTCTTCTTATTTTTTAGCTTTCTTTATTTCCAAACTCCTTTTTTTTCTCTCTCCAACCACTGGTGAAATACTTCTCAAATCCTGTAAAATTCAGTTGGCTCTTTCTCCTTAATTGCTAATGTTAATCTGTTCTTTTCTGCACATCCTAATATTTTCCTGATCACCTCCTCATCAATAGGAATCTCTACACTTTTCCAATGTTGTGCAAATACAATTCTAGCTGCGGTTAATACATGAATTATATATATATATAATTTTCCCTGGCTCAGCGGATAAAGGAGGAGAACCTTGTGACTTAGTGGGTAACACATCTGCGTAATATGTAATACAGCTCAGGTTCGAATCCCAGTAAGGGTATGGCTAGCTGATGAGAGCTAAATAGCTTGGAATAGATCTATACTAGTCTCCCTGTATTTATTTATCAGCACAAATACAACACAAATGTAACAAAGGCAACAGTAAAGATGTGGGGTTTCTGTCTAGATGGTCTCTTGTGAGGAGCCGATAGAGAAGGGAAGCAGTAGGCTTCCTCCCATATTTGGGCATACCAGGGGTTGTGACACTAAATACATACCTATTTCCCTGGCTCAGCGGATAAAGGAGGATAACAGGGTTTAGCCTTCCACTCTCCTGGAACAATAACTCAAAAGTCCTA